TACCAGGTGGCACAGCAGAAAGACAATGGGGGTGTAATGCGAGGGTGAATAAGTATTCTTAGTCAGCTTTAGCAAGGGACGGGATCATCTTCCTAATGATCTTACTAAAAATTACGTTTATTTCTGTATTTTAAAAGTACCGGCTAGCCACTTCTTGGTGAACTTGTTTTTTTCCTCTGGAATTCGTTGTTCCCTGTCACTTTGCTTTTTCCTGGTATGGAAAATTACAGGAAGTCCAGCGTCTAAGAGTAAAGAGTTGTCTCTCCTCCGTCTCTTGAATTAAGAGTTGTCCAGTTTGAAAGCTGCCTCGTCACTGAAGTCATGTGGACCTTGGTCCTTGAATGCTCCTTACGCTGCGAGCAGTTGCAGCAGTTTCACTGGCTTATCAGTATTGCACTGAATTGCAGTATGCCTGTGTGAGGGTTAGCAAGGGTGAGTTACAAAACCCAAGCAAATACTACGTGAGGAGCGATAACAGAAAATGCAAAATGAAGGTCTGCGTTCACTCCTGTTACAAGTACAGAGCTTAATTAATAGCCAAAATTAATATTTTTACAAACACGTGGCTGACGTTATCAGGAGCAAAGAAGAGAAATAAAGCTTTCCTAAGAAATTTCTAAGCTGCAAATCAGAAGTAAAAAATGTCAGCGGCCTCATTCTTGAGTGAGATGATGAGAAACACCGAAGTTATTCTTGGATGTGTTTTCTCATTTTGTTTAGGTGTTTGTTTAAGCTTTCATAGTGTCTCTTCAGCCACTGCTGAAGGCAGTGGAACAAGTATACCTATTACTGTGTGCCAAAAGTATACAATAGTAAGTACATATAATAAGAATAATAAGTACTAAGTGTACCAAAAGCTGTGTCCCGATGACAGTGCAACTAAATCAGAAGGCCCTCATTTAATTGTAAAAATTGCCAAGGTAAATGACCCTGGGTCTTTAGTGGGTTTTAGGACGGTTACAGGGACGTTTGCAATCCAGTGCGCTTTCACTGAGACAAACAGCCTGCAAGGGTGTGGGACTGGACAGCAGGGGTTCTCCTCATTGCTGCCTTGCACCAAGGATTAGTGGGTGAGTTACCTCCCATCTGCAGCGGTCGCTGCAGCAGAAACTTGCAGCGTATCGTGCTTTCTAAGGACTACTTAGTTGCTCTGAGACGAATGGGTTGTGGATGCGTTGCCTGGGGGGGGGGGGGGGGGGGGGGGGTGTCATAAAAAAAACTATCTCA